GGCTGCACCCCGGGTGTTGCTACAACAGCAACGGCAGCCGGGGCCGTTTAGAAACGAGCCTGTTTATCTTTTCTCTCTAAAGCTGTAATCGCCAGCCGGGTCACCCCGCTTTGGGTTTGCTTCAGCGGGGGCTGCGAAACAACATCACAACCGTGCCGCTCTTGCAGGGCAGGGGATGAAGCTGGCAATGTCTTTCTTCCCTAGTGTAATTAATTGTGGGCAATAATTTCTTACACTGAATAGGGCTAGGGTTTTTTTTCCTCCCTGCTTCTCTCCTCCAGAGCATGTTTTTTAGCTTCGGAGGAGGGAAATGTGGCTGTGAGGGGGTATAAGCCTGCTGCAGGCAAACCTTACTTAGCAAGCCAGCACTTGGTGGAAGGGTTGCACAAACAGCACTTGGCTCAGGCACCGTCTCTGGGGTATATCTAGGCTTTGTCCAAATCTTGCAGATACTGTGTCTTTTTTTTTTTCTTTTTAAGATACAGTTTGGAAGCACAAACCCTGTTGTGTAATTTCCCATTCATGCCCGCTGTGAAACCCTTACTCAGTTTATCCTGCGTGTCTAACCGGCCGCAGCACCCTTTTCCCTGCCCTCAACTGACAAACTCTTATAGCTCCAGGCTGCATGAGAGCACCCCTGTGCAGCCGCCTACTCCGCCGCACTTCACCCAGGACCCCCCTTGCTTGCATCGCTTCACCTAGGGCCTCAGCCATACGTTAGGGGATTTATTTTCCTGCCTCTACCATTACCACCTATTCATTTTTTATTTTTTAATTTTTTGTTTGCGCTGCCCCAGTGCGGTGGCGGCGGCCGAGGCTCTGACCACCAGGGTGATGCCCACTCAGCTGCCAGGTGCGCCCTGAGGAGCTGGGGCCCAGAGAGGGTGGCCTGTGGATGCTTGGCAGGCAGCCCGGGATGGTCAAAATCAGCCTCCTGAGCTGAGCTGCCGAAGAGCAACTGCCGCAGCTTGGCTTCGCCATTGCCAGCATCCTTTGGCATCGCCAGGGCGGCACTGAAATCCCTCACCTGCCTCCAAAGAGTGAGGGAATATTTGGTCTTTCCCTGCCCACACGGCATACGGCTGCCATTCCAGCTGGCCGCTGGCAGGGTGGAGAGACTGGGATATTTGCTTGTGCCACCGAAGCGATGAAGAGCTGGATGTCACTTGCTGGTTTATGGTAACTGCGCCCAGGGCGATTCCCTTCCTCAGCAGCAGCTTTTATAGTGGTTATTCGGTGGGGCTGCAGGGAGGACATTGTGGAGCTTTGTGGAACTCCACAGAAAGATTTCCAGACCTGATCTTTATCTGTAAATGATAAAACCAGCATATTTCCCCTTTTCAAGAGCGAACGGAGACTGAAGGTTGGTCTGAATTTGCCACGTGCCACAAATTTGCCACAGGCACAAATGTGAGTCACCTGCCACGTCTGAGCCATCATGTTTATCTGAGCTTCGTGCCTTGTTGAAGAAGATCGGTTGGATTGCCACCAAAACCGACGGGTGCCTGGCACACAAACTCCGGGTGCTTTGCAAAAGGGGCCGGGGCCAAGGGCTTGTGCTGGTGGGAAAGATGTGCAGCAGCGCCAGGCATCCCTGTGGACCAGGGTGAGAGCCAGGGCCATGGGTCATGTTAGAGAAAATTAATTTTTAATCCCTAACCCCCCATCCAAAGTTACTTTATAGTCTCCGATTCCCTGGCCGAAGCCAGGGAGCGATGCCAGCGGGCAGGGAGGTGGTAAATACCCACTTGTGTGGAAGCACGGCAAAGGACTGATGGATCTGCTCAAGTATTTCCCGTTTTGTCTTCCAGTGGAGCTGAGTCCCTCTCTTCAGATGAAAAAGGTATGGTAATTTTGTGAAATACAGCACTTCAAATGGCTTTGTTATGAGAAATACCCATCCTTCGGAATTGAAATGACAATTTTATAACAGCTGGCTTTAAAAAATGCAGTGTAATGCCTTAGTTTAATGGATAAGAGTTTTGATTTTTTTATACTAATTTTAAAAATTCATATTCCTTTGCTATTTATTCCCTTCCTCTGACCTGCATAGTACAAAAATGCCAACAGAAGAGTTAAATCTTTTTCAAGCTTATATCTCCCAACTGCTTTTCTCTTGCAGAGGTGGTGGCCGGCAGTGCGGAGGGAGAGGGCTCAGCCGAGGAGCACCCAGCGGGTGAGCACACATGTGGCTGATGGCTTTCCCCACGCATGGGATGGCGTGGCTGGCCATGCACATGCCATTTCCCCGCACCGTGATAAAACCACAGTGTAGACACTGCTGCAACTCCTCAAGTCACTTGCTTTGCAATACTGGTTTCTCTTCCAACTTCCATTTGTAAGAATCACTTATTAAAGCTGCATATAGCACATACCCATGAGTCATGTCACTGGTGGGACACACCAACTCCCACCAATGCTTCTCCCACCTCACGTGCATGTCACGGAAAACCATAATTTAGCTGGGTGAGCTGGGACGTGCTAAGGGTGAAGCTCCAAAATAGTCCCAGGTTGTATAAAACATGAAAATTAAGCATCTTGAACATCACACATACCCTTCAGAAGGGCCTGGGTGACTCCTAAGTCTCCTCTGATGCTGAGATTTGATACTCTGATGCTCCTCTCTGCCTAAGTATTTTTTCTACCTTGTTATATTATCTAACTTGCTGACCAACCTGATGTATTTAAACTTCTAGATGTATCCTTTTACTTACCCGTGGCATTGCTTTATTTCATTCTGCCTGTGACTAATGGGGTGTAATTTTGTTAAGGAGAGGACAGTTCCGAAAACAGCTCCAGCAGTAGCTCAGAAGAGGAGTCAGGTGAGCATCGTGTTGCGATTTATGTATTTTCTCCCTTTTGAGAATGTATGTTCGGTTTAAACCAGCTGCTTTTCATGGGAATAGTCTCAGGGTTATTGTATAAGACTGTTAATTTAGTGACTGCATGCTGAAAAGCAGAATGGTATTTTTGTGAGCAAATGATTTCCTAGCTGCTCAGTTTTGAGCAGAGCAATAATAGAGGAGCAGTGGCTAATGTTGCTTTAGCCTCATAGACACAATACATGCAGATGTTTTTACACCACAGTAGTTGTCCAAACACCAAGAGGCTATAAATCTGCTTAAAAGTTGGCAGCAAAAGTGACAAAACAGGATGGACAGGAAAAGAATTAAAGGAAGCGTTTGCTGTTGATGAAAAGCCTGCGGGTTTGTGCTTACACGAGTTACACCAAAAGCAGTTTATTCTGGTTTCATGCGAGATTGATAGTCTCAGTTAAATAATTACAAAGCTTTTTCTCATCAGATGCGGAGGAGTCGGATGGAAGAAGGTCGGGTAAGCGTGCTTCTATTTTGTTCCGTATATCTGCCTTGCAAGGCATGAGGAAGCCAACATGGATAAGGGATGCACGAGGGTTATGATATGTGGGGGCAAGAGAGTGATTTAGTGCTGGCCCAGCCGTCACCTCCATGTCTTTCGGTAAAACTATTTGCTAGAGAGCATACCCAGGAATGGGGAGTGCGTGGGGTGCATGCGCGGTGCATGCTTGCTGTCTCTGTTTGCGAATGGAGCCCGGTGCAGGGCTGTGGGTGCAGGAAGATGCCGGACAGAGCTGAGGCACCCTTCCTCACCTGCACGTCGTGGGTGGCCCTGGGTCATTGCAATCCCGCTGCAGCTCGGGGACTGAAATAGCATTGCTGCGGGAAGGGAGCCAACGTGCTGGTGGGTGTTTGCCTGACATTTTCCAGGCTGTTCACTGCAGCAATACATTTTCTGCCTCTCCCACATCTGCCTGCCCAGGAGGGTGTTGATGTCCCAGGATGACATTTGGACAGCCCGGCTGGACTCCCTGCTTGCAGGGGGGGGTGTGGGGGGGATGGGGAGCAGGAACGAGCAGCACGGAGCCTGTGCCCTTGCACGCCAGCAGCCAGCCCGTCCTCGCACCTTGTCACAACAGCTCTGCCACTCAGCTTCTGCAAAATCCACCCTTCGGGCTAAAAGCTTTTACCGGATATGTCAGCTCTGTTTGCTTTCTGTTGTGCTGGGGGTTAGTAAGGAGGATTCAGGCACTTCTAAATCACTTTAGGGACCAATATGCTGCAAATAGTGTGGTTACCTGCTCACTGGGAACTGCTGTTGCCAGCTTCCATGCTGGGTGGTTGAACTTTGTACTTGGCACGTTGAGACTCATCGTGGGGACGAGTCTTTTTTTAACCCCTGTGAAAATTTCCAGCAGTTTGGGCAAGTTATGAGCTCTTGACAAATGTATCCTGATGTTCAGCTTCATCCCCACGCTGTGCAAAGCCTGCACACACAGGTGTGCAAGTGTGCCTGTAAGAACTTAGTCTTAGGAATATTCTCCTTAGGTATTTTTTAATGTAAGCAAATTAAACTAGTGAGTTGTCCTTGCTGAACATGGGAGCAGAAACCTGCTGGAGGCTGAGGTATTTGCTGTAAACTTCTTTTTTGTAGATGAAGAACAAGAGGAGAAGGAAACGCTACCGCACTGCAATGAATCAGGTAGTAACAGACCTCTTGAGGATTGGGTTTTTTTCCGAGTGTTTAATTACTTTGCTTTTAATGAGCTGATCTTCCTGTTTTCTCACTAGGAGTGAACTGTCTGCCACCCTGCAAGCATTGCAGAAATGAAAACGTATGTTTATAAACCTGCCCACCCCCCGCATTTTGCATGAGATAATCTGCAAATTGTAATTCTGCTCTCTCACCACCTTTTTAAATATGTATTTTTCTTTTATCTATTTATATAGGACCAGAAGGAGCAACTGACCCCCAGGAGACTTTCTGGAGGACAACATGTGTATGTTTTTTTTAATACAATGGGTATACATTTATATTGTTCTCATCAAGATACTTCTCTCTTCAGTTTAAGTGGGAAAAAGACTGATTTGCTGCACAAATACATTTGGAGTTATAATGGATGCCCCCAAATCCTTAAAAATAAACAATTTAGAGCAGCTGCCCATGCTGCCTGCAGGTCCCGGTCCAAGAAAGCTCTTAGGACGGCTTCCTGTCTGCCTCATTTTGCTGCGGTAATTAACATCAGGCACATTTTTATGTGCTTTTTTTTAGCCTGGACACACATGAGGGGTCTTACCCTGCTTCACAGGAGTACTCATCCTCCCCATTTGCACTGACCTTGCATTTTTTGTTAGACGCCAGCCTTGTGCTCCCTCGCTCTGGCTCGGAAGTTGCCATCAGTGTGTGATGTTGGTGATGTCCATGTATGATGTTGATGTTGTCAGCGTATGATGTTGTCTCCAACGTCGATAGGAGCTGGGCTGAGCCCTTTGTGTAAAAGCAGCTGCCTCGTTTGCAGGAAACGTTATGCAAAATATTCATTACAGCTATTTTGCATGCACTGGCTGGGTCCTCTCAGCCAGTTTTTAACACTCCAGTGACAGTTTAAACATAGAGACTGGAGAAAAAACATTGTTGTGGCTTCTGTGCTATTCAGATAAGGTGCTCTGCGCTTGTTGGGAAAGGAGTTTCTCTGTTATCCCTTGCAAACCACATTGTTATGGTATTTACTAGGCAGTGGAAACTAAACTAACCAGGTCACTCTTGCCCACGGCAGGGTGCAGCTGGACGCAGAGGGGACTTACCAGTGCAGCCTCACGGGCTTGATTTTTGAGGTAACGGGGGCCGTCAAAATCACATATTCCCTCTTATCCTGGAGCAAATACGCCAACCTCGTGGAAAAGCCGTGGATTGTGGGCGGCCCCCTCTTCGACGTGCGCTGTGACTCAGCCCCTGCTCTCACCTCCATCCAGTTTCCCCACTCCCTCTGCCTCGGCGGTGAGTGCGGGCCACCGGCCGGGCGGGCGCGGGAGGCTGCCAGCTCCCCGGCACAGGAGGCACTGAGATGGCCCCGTGTTCCCATAGGTCATGGCGCTGGCATGGCCTTCAAGGTTTTGCACATCAAAGGCGAGAGTGCAGCCATCGAGCCCTCTGCTGACTACTCGGCCTCGCATGTGAAGTGGCTGGTGAGCTCGCTCTCGCCGGTGGGACCACTCATCCAGAGCCAGGAGCCGGTGCAGTACCACGGCGCCGTCATCCTCTACAAAGTCGTTGACGAGCATCCCTCCTTATCCTTTCGGGTCTATGTGGCTACAAACAACGACTCCTTTATAAAGGTATGGCTTGTGTAGGGTGGTGTGATGTAGAAATATGGCAGGGTGGGTTATGGGGGTGCTACGTTGAGGATGGGGTATGGTGAAGAGATGTTCTTCTCTCGCCCCAGTGTTTGCATGCAATAATAATATATATATATGTTATACATAAATATAATGAGACTTCCATACCAAAAAGGTCCACCAAGTTAGGATATGATATTTAAGGAATTATACTGGCCCACGTGCTCACTCACAAGCTGCTGTAGAAAAGAAATATATCAGAAACCTGTTTGCCACCAAAATCCACAGAGCTCAGGATTTGTACCTGAGAGAGCTTCTTGCCCTCTCACCCATTCCCCCCTACAATATATAGGCAAACACTAGGAGAAGGCAGCAACAAATAACCTTCCTTTTATTCGGGTTGCAAACTCTTCTATCTAATTTCACCCATGTAGCACAACAGTTGAAGAAGTTTATTTGATGTTTTTTGAGCATGGTGTTTAGTGCACAGCTTTCTGTAAAGTTTGGCATGTGGAACAGGTCGCGACCATTTCATAGAGCTGGGGACAGAGAAAAGCTCAAGGAGCCACACTAGCCCAGGTTTTAAATGTTAATTCCTTCACTGAGGCGAGTAACCTTTAAATTGTATTTTTAAATTTTAGGATATCTCAAGAGCCGTAAAACATTCAAATAAGAAATTCATTAAAATTGACAAGCCCCCTGTATGCCAGAAATTACTACAGAAAGGAAAGAGGTATAGATTAGTTTGTGAGCCAGAAGCTGAAATAACTCCAGAGGTAAGTCCCTTACACAACCCTCATTTCATGCGTTGCAGCTGAATTAGAAACGTGGTACAAAATGGCTTTTCCTGCACTAGTATTAAGGGCATTTTTAACGTGCATTTGCCATCTCTGCAGAAAGCATTTGCCTCTTACAGCCCCAAAATTTTGGGATGAAATCCTGATGCCAAAGTCAACAGCAAAACTCTGGGGAGATTAGAGTTGGACTCAGATCTGTGCCAACAGCCAAATACTCCTCTTTTGTTTATGTTTGGATAAATGTTTATTTTTAACATATTTACATTTCATAGGAAATTGAATTTGTTGATGGATCTCTTTTGAAACTAAAAAGTTACATTGAAGTCTATTTGGAGAAACCCGACGACTTCACCTTGTCTTTGGTTGAGCT